CGTAAGAACTTCCATGCTAGGTATACCAATACGCAGGCAGAAGTAGAGGTTGATCACGAAGTCCCGTAACGAAAATCATCAGATATGGCACATATCAATAGACTATGCTCTACGTGTGCTCTGCCATGTGTTCCATCATATTATCATATTATACTACACATACCCTTACCCTCAAAATTGAATGACTTTGGCGATTTTACTATAATTAGCCCCTTTCTTTGTCTACCCCATTATGCTATTTGAAGTATTTTGTGACAGATACACCACTTACATATACCCAGTAGGTCCATGTAGATCTGAGGTCAGTGTAAAAACTCTACGTTTGCTTGTATCGTAGCTCGGTTGACATTCTTCGTGTTGGCTGGTATTAAAGAAACCTTAGAAGTCGTATTGTAGGGATCTTTGACGCGCACGCAATGGGTCTATGAGGCTGTGCCATCGAATTCTTCCAGCAAGGAATGTTTACCTAGCTGGAGTGCCCAGCATGAGGTGTATTAGTAAATGGCTAGATTTGTCCATTCCAATTTACAAAGCTATGGATAGACCTGCTTCCTGAGATCAAAAGTCATTGGAATTGCAGATGGAGGATCTGATATTACGAGCTGTACTGTTCTGTGTATGTACACACGTACCCAGATGACAAAGTTTCAACAGTTTCAATGTTCCAAGTAAAGTTTGAAGATTGGAATGCTTACAATTCTCAAAGATTGAATTGAATGTCCGAGCTAAATTCAAACAACGGATTCCATTTCAATGTCCGAGTCAAATTCCGACAATGGAAACATTCAAATTTGTAGCTTCAGGTCGATTCATGAGATTTGAAATCTTAGATAACATAATGAATGTGCTTTTATTTTGCAACAGAAATTTCTACCACCTACGGACTAGATAGCCAAATTTCGAGACCCCTCACAAAGCAAACAGCAACCACTTCAAAGTACACAGTCGTTTTCCATCCATATGCTTTCCATAAAATTGCATACCAACGAAATCCAAACCATCTTGTGTCGAGGGGTATCGCGCATATACATATCTTGTAAACCCCCAACTCCATAGAAACTTCCTTGCATGTGTTCCCCAAATTTTGACCTCCTGTAAATCCCACCACGGCCACATAACTGCACTTCGTATGCAAATATAACCAGTTGCTAGAAGTATGAGAGCGAAATTGAATAGTATCACATGAATAGGGGGGGGGGGGGGGGGGTTAAGGGGTGGGAGAAATATTAGAAAGGGTTAACATCATCATACCTATAAAGACCCACCTAATGAAAATGTCGGTTGCAATAGTTCTCTTCGCGATCGGTTCACGTGTCGAGGCTGTCCCGAATCACCAATTTATTGTTGAATATTTTATCTGTCAGCTGCCAAACAGAGCTGATAAAAAAACTTCGAAGACGTTGAGGAAGCAAACATGATCAGAATGGTAAACACTAGACAAGTCAAGTAGAAATGCCGTATGAACCAAATAATAACTGCAATGGCTTGTTGAAATCATGAGCGGATTCGCTTAGCTTCTATTCAACATTAGCACAATTCTTAAACCGGTCGAGAAATTCAAAAAGTACTCACCATTGATGTTCGATTCATCGCCATCTTCGAAGTCTGCATCAGCTCTGGGCCTCTTTCCTGAGGTCGAAATGGGTGAATCATTCAACTTTGGAGTTGGAAGTTGAGGAGCAACTACTAGAGATGGGGGATTCTCTTCATTTTCATCTTCATCGTAATCGATCTCGTCTTCCTGGTCTTGTCCATCGTCAAGGTTAAGCTTCGTTGCCTGGGATTCAGCGATCGAAGCATTGCTCAATGTAGCGCTGTCTGTCTCGGCTGCTGTGTCGTCGAAGGTGGCATTGGTAGTGGAGATAACCTCGCCCACAGACATATTCAAGAGTTCATTATCATTAAAGGTGTCGTCATCGTCTAGTTGATAGTTTTGGAGGAACTCGGTTTCTTCGTCGCCAACACCTAAATCAAACTCGTTTCCCTCAGAATTCTGCTGCTGTCCATCTCCAAGCTCGTCGTCATAACTAATTTCCACGTTATTTATTTCCAGAGTATGATCCGCAAGATCTACACCTTCGCTGTCTCCATTCTGGTCGATTTCATTAACATCGCAAGGTACTTTATCTGCTAACTCAAGGCCTTTGTCATCTTCGTGTTGTTCGTTTTCGTTGCTATCTTCGTACGAGGCATACTCACGATCCTCGTCATTGGTGGCGTTCAAGTCGATCTCATCTTCTGCATTTTCAATGTCATTTGGTGCTGCTCCATCTTCTTCCTTGCCGTTGAAGTTATTATCGGCATTCTCTTCTTCGTAGTCAATGTCGCTTTCTACGTCGTCAAATATTTCCGTGGGTTGTGCAGCATTATCAGTATGGGTTGTTTCGTCGCCAAGTTGGTCGTCTGGTTCATCAGAACCATTCTCTGTTTTGTTGAAGGCTAACTTTTGAGGATACTCTTCTTCTGCCGATTGACGTTCAGTTAGATCAAGGTCATTACAAGTGAAACAAAAACAGGTATCAGGGAAAACGCAAAGCAAGTTAAAATCGGTGTATCTACCGTTGTGTAGGTTGGATTCATCGGCCTCAGACAGTTCGGACTTCAGAGCTCCATCGCCCGAGGGCTTCTCGGCGTCCTCTTCATCTTCATAGTCGATAAAGTCCCCATTTTCTTCAGTTTCATTGTTGGGCTGTTCCGAAGTTTCGGGTGATTTGCGATCCGTTGTAGATACTGACTCTTGATTTCCAATCTCTCCTTGCTTATCCTCCTGCTCCTCTTGAGGAGTTTCAGCACTGGCCGAAATGGTAGAATTTACATTTACATTTTGATTTTGTTGGTCATCATTAAAACCAGGGTCATAGTTCTCGTCATGTGTATTAATGGTTTTAATAAACTTGTCTCCATCCTCGAGCTCGGTGTTGTACTGGTCGGGGGAAGATTCGCTGTCATCATGTTCCGTCTGATCTCCAAAGTCGGTCGGATCATCTTCGCTTTCGGCGTCCCAGGTCACATAGTCAAGTAGTCCCTTGCCCTCAGCGGCCCCTTTTGAGAGCGCAAGAAATCTATCAGAACCAGTAGGCTGGATAACGAGTCTCAGATTCAAAGGGGGAATTTCTCCAGTGCCGTCATTGTTGACTAGTTGTTCATATAGGCGAATAATTTGACCTAAGCTCAAGTCAGGAGGATAGCTTGTGAGTTGCGTCTACAAACAAAGTTAGCAAAAATCAAGAATGACGGTGGGATATCTGCAAGACTCACCTCTTCAATCACTAACTGAAGCTCCTCGATCACCAGGCTAATCTTGTCATTTTGGGGCAAGTTCTCCTCTGCAAGGACTTTACGTATCTCGGAGCAAAACTCATTCAACGATTTCTCAACTACAGAGGGATCTTCGAAGAAAAAATCGTTAGGATGATCTGTTGAAGACTTCCTAATCAATGGATAACTTCGATTATTGTACTTAACTACTATTCCACGAGCATGATATTGATGCTCCGAATCCTTCGTAAACTCGGATGTAGCATTATTGTCATCGATCGAGCCACTTTCCGCAGAGACTGTGTTCAGATCTGGATGCTCTTGATCTTGATTTTGCTCTCGTTCTTGCTCTTGTCCTTGACCTTCGGTATGTGAATTGAGATCTATTGGGTCACTTCCAGCAGATGCAGATGCAGTGCTCAAGCCAAGTTGTTCCCCATCCTCCGCATATGTATTGGAATCAATTGCCTCAATAGAATCTGTTGGCTCATTAACATTGTTTTCAAGCTCTTCTTGAGTAGAGCCATCGTAGTTGGGGTTTGGTGGGCTATTGGATTGTGGGTCTTCATCAGTGGACGGATGAGGAAATAAAATAGGTGCAAACTCCTGGGAGTCCTTGGAATCTGAATTTTTTGTACTATCGGCACTATTGTCGATTGCGGTTTCTGAGCCATGTGTATTTACTTCTATGTCTTGCGTATTTATAACTTCACTTGGCTCTTGTACCTCGTGGGGCTCGTCCCAAAATTGATCGGAAATGCCAGTCTCCACGAAATTTGACTCTGTGGCGTGTAGCTCAGTAAAAGAAGTGTCGGAAGGTTCATCGGTTGCAAACGGCAAAACAGCAGGTTCCTGTTCCATGATGTGATCATCTGCTTCCTCCTCCAGTAAGTCTGCATCCTCCATATGGTATGATGCATTATCGCCGTCATCGTCGACCATCAGATCGTCTGTCTCGACATGTGCGGGTACATCGGTAATATTGGTATCGAAGTCTGCATCTGCATCGATATCATCTAGAATATCATCTTCATCAACATTGCCAGTAGTAAGGTCGATATCGATATCGATATCTTCCTCGGCTGTGTTGTGCCCATACTCAGAAGCTATCTCCATGCTGTCATCCACCATTGTATGAAATGTTGGGTGTGCAAGACTAGACACACTCATGAGTTCGTGGCTTCACAGCTTTCGGTGAAAATACCGAATTTGATTTCAAGCTGAAAGGGTAAAAGGGAATTATTGGCAAAAGGCGTGGAAGGTTGATTCTCAAGTAATGCTTTTAGGCATAAGATATGGTCGATTTCTTGGTTTCGCGTGTAACAGTAAATGTGAAAGGGTTTTAGTATGCAGTGGGGACGGGAAGGACAAAGGAATGTCGGACAAATGAGCAAAGAATCAATGATCTGAAATACCGCCAAATGGCAAACTAATGATTAGATTAAACACATTTATTATTACTTGTCGTTGAGTGTTGACCGTCGACTGTTGAGTGAGTTGATGTCGTTCTGGATTATTGGGAACCCTTGTGAAAGAACAAAGTGTGGTAGCGCGCTTTTGGAGCTTCATACGGTTCAACGCTAGATTAGTGTTTAGTTTAGCTAAGCTATCACGTGTGGATCCATGTCGGAACATTGTTTGGCTCACTGTCCGATATACACATTGCAATACGATCTGAACTGTCTACATTGAAACTCACTGACAGCATTGAGAAAGGTGTAGTTACTCGACATTTAATCAAAATGGTGCGCCACTCTATAAAATTCTTTACTAATATCTATTTCGCTGACAAAATCCCAGGTCGTCTTAGCAGCTTCGATTTGCACCCGGGGGGGAAAAGCTGTCCTCTCCAGGCAGTTTCGCGAAATGCAAAGGTCTAGAATTGAAGCTCTTCTAGCATCCTTTCCAAAGTTGGCTGATTCTGGAACTCAACATACGACGGTGGAGCAAGATAATGTGCGATTTGTGTACCAGCCACTGGACGAATTATACATGGTCCTCATTACGAACAAGCAATCCAACATCTTACAAGATATCGATTCCTTGCACCTATTCGCGCAGGTGGTCACTAGCACATGCAAAACCTTGGATGAGAGAGAGATTTTAAAGAATGCATACGAATTGCTTAGTGCATTTGACGAGATCGTCACACTTGGATATAGGGAAAACCTTACAATCAGCCAAATCAAGACATTCTTGGAGATGGAGAGTCACGAAGAAAGGATACAAGAAATCATCTCAAGAGTAGGTTATGTGCATGTGTATTCTCGGGCAATCAGCTAATTGATATCTCAGAATAAAGAACTCGAGGCCACCGAAGAGCGCAAGCGCAAAGCAAAACAATTGGAAATGCAGCGCAAGGAGGTTTCAAGGAGTGGCAGAAGTGCTATACCAAGTAGGCCACAGTATCCCACATACACACCACCTACGCAATCCGCAAACACCGAAACCTATGATTCATATGAAGCTGCCAAAAACAAAACTTTCAAGTAGGCTATTTTTATCGTCTCTGTTAGATCATTGACACTGACAATTCACAGGGCTAGCGCACCGAAAGGCAAAGGAATGCAACTGGGGAAGAAATCGAAGACTACAGACATGTTTGAAAGAGTTCGTGGAGATATGGGTGCTGAAGTAGAAGAAACTGTCTCATCACCACTTATTCCAAATCATCCTACACCAGCTGCTGCCGAACAACCCCCTCACACTCCCTCCGCAATGGACCGTGATGCTATCCACGTTACTATCTCGGAGTCGATCAATGCCAAATTATCCCGAGATGGATCACTCAATTCCTTGGAAGTTAAGGGTGATTTGAACTTGAGAATCTCAGACCCTACACTCACCAAGGTCAAGTTAGATATCGTTGCCAACCAGAGTCATGGAGTGCAATTCCGCACACATCCAAATGTTGATAAGGGAGCGTTCAATGGATCTAAAGCCATCCAGATGAGCAATGTTTCAAAGGGCTTCCCTGTCAATAATTCGGTTGGAGTCCTAAGATGGAGAGCTCAACCAAAGACAGATGACACCAGTGCATTACCAATTCAATTCACTGTATGGGTTGTTGGTGGACAAGGTGATCCTCTCAATATTACTGTAGAATATGAACTTACAGGAGAGGATCCTCTTCAGGATGTTACCGTTACTATTCCATACGCCTCGAGCGAGCCCGCAGTATCTAGCTTCGACGCAACGTATGAAGTCTCTGGAGATAGCCTTGAATGGACGATTGGATCTGTGGGTTCCTCTAATGGGACTGGCTCTTTTGAATTCGAAGTCCAGGATGGGGATGAGAATGATTTCTTTCCAATGCAAATTAAATTTGCTAAAACAAAACCTTTTATTGATGTTGATGTAAGTTACACCCGAGCTCTTTAATGGCAGTCGGATACTAACATTTATGCAGGTTACCGATGTCACATTACTAGAACTGAACGAGGCCGTAGATTTCTCGAAGGATATTAAGTCCGTCGCTGATTCTTATCTGGTGGAGTGAGAAAATGGGTGAAGAAAACGAACGGGGTCTGATTGAAGTGCATGGCGTAGGATGGGTGGCAATCCATGATCTTTAATGTTTTACTAGCCGTAGAATATAAAACTTATTCATATTTTATAATATTTTGCGGAATATTTACCTGAGCACTCTCCAGTATCGCACAATAAAAAATAATGTACGTCTTAAATTGATATTTCAGCTCAGTACAATGCATCTGCTTAGGTATTTTGATTATAAAAGGGAAGAACGAGCGTTTTGTGACTCGCTTACGTACTCACTACAACAATGTGGATATTTACATAACGGGTAGTTTTTGTAAAACTATCAACCTGCTCCTGGGTAATGTGAAAACAGCCACCTCATCGACAAAATCCTTCTGTCTTAAATGCAATTTTATTCCAGCGGGCAAGATGGTGGAGGTCAAGCGTCTCGAGCTACTCGGCGAGAAAACTTTGCATCAAACAGTGAATCCTAAACTGCTCGTATATTGTCCGTCGATGGACCTGATAGCATTGGGTAGCACAGACCAGCAAGTTTTAATCTACCGTTTGAATGGACAGAGGGTTTATGGCGCTGCACAAAAAGTCAATACACTTCGTGTTGAAAAAATCAACTGGAAACCAAATGGTACCGAACGTCCCTAGTCGTCAATAATATCATACTGATAGCTTTGCAGGCCAATTACTAGGAATCGCTTGGAGTGATGGATCTGTACGTCTCGTAGGGGCAGAAAGTACAAAGGTGGTTCATCATTTCTCTACAACTTCAGATGACGACCAGGAGTTCTCTGGGGTCACGTGCATGGGCTGGAGTTCAAATACAATCGGTAGAAGAGTTGAGAGTAGAGCAACGAAGCTTGTGCCAGATACACTAAAGAGAGTATTTGAGGGTGAGAAGGAACTATTAACAGAGAAGGTCGTCTTGGACTTGCCGAAGGATCTTGCCCTCCTTGACATTGAACCTAGCCTGCCAAAGCTAAGTGTACTCCCTGCAGGAGGAACCTCGTAAGTGCGTCTTTTATTATTGTTCTCTTTTTCATGAACTCTGACTTATTACTCTACGCCAGAGATGAAGTTTTCAGCTCAAGGTCTTCTTTAGATGCGCTTTTCCGTCCCTTCGACCCTGAAGATAATGACATGGCCGATGTCATGGTGGTTGGGACAAAGGAAGGTAACATCCATCTGAGCATCTACGACTCATTTGTCGTAGGATCTTTCAAATCCCCAGTCATAGTCCAGAGACGTCCGGCATATCTTATTTCGCATGCATCCCATAAATCATATTCGACGCATGCATTGCTCATGAAAACCACCGAATCTGAAGAAAGGATCTATTTCGTCCCAATGGATCTTCGTTTCTTGTCAGCCTCTAGCGAGTATCTCTCCATCCTTGCATCGCGATCAACAGCTTTAGAGAACCTTCTTAGATATATCAATCAAATACAGGGTCTTATGCTTGCAGAATGGAAGTCAACTCAAGAATTACCCAGCAGGTTCCTCCAAAACGTTAATGAAACCCTTGCTGAACAAGAGAATCGAGATATCGTACAGGCACTTTATCATTCAGTCGCAACTGGTCATACCTTTCCAGTTGTGCGGGAATGGCTTGTAGATGAGCTGACAGAAAGGGTAAGTTTGCTTTTTTTACTCTTCGTAGAGTTGTACTAAACTTTTAGGGTCATAAAAGATGGGACAAAGCCGTGGTATCAGGTCTTGAAAACCTCCGGCGTTTAGTTCACGAGAACATGCTTCCAGCCTTAGATCGTTGTTCTGTCATTCTCAGCCGATTGAATGGAATTGCAAAATTCCAAGGCTCGGATTCTTCATTAGGCTTTTCCAGTGCTCAAATCACTTCGATTATGGATACAATCGCGTCTCTGCATCTTGTTTCTGCCAAAATTCTACTTCAAGTAGTAGATGAGCTCGAACTTTTTACTTCATTTTCTGCTTGGCTTCGTCACGAGATAGACAGGCTTGCATCTGATGTATCTTCACAAAATGACGATGGTGACAAAGAGGCTTTGATTGATCACGGTAAAGTATTACTGTACATTCAAACAGTAATGACCAATAGCCCTCTAGCAGCCTTCATAGGCGAGGTTAAACCTGAAGACTACGAGGAAGAAAGTGCACATGTAGGTAAAGGCGCTCAAATGTTCGATTTACTCACAAGACAATTAGAAAAGCAAGAGCAAGGTCTCAAATACAGAAGAACTCTGCCACAGGTGGATTTTCTTTGCAGGTATTTGAGGAATCAGGCGACTAGTATCTTTACTCAAATTGCAGATGCCGAAAAGAGCAATGTCGTTTTCGGTAAGGCGAGCGAACTAGGCATGGCTCACAAAGATGTGTCTGTCGAGATGAAGATTAAAATAATTGTGAGTATTGTTACTATGAGTTGTGCAGCCCATAGCTGATTCATTTTAGGATCGTAACACATGCCATGTCTATGTCGCCTTTGTGCCAAAAAACTTCACGAATCAAGGTCAGTCAATACACTACTCATGTACCTGCCCGAGTGTCGGCTGACTAGTAAATAGTCCAAGTCGTTCAGGTGGAACTTCTCATCGAGAATGGTATCAGTACTGTGCGCAGCACAAGTTCTTCTATCATGCAGCTTGGCAATGGGCAGATCAAAGATCTTAAATTTTTGGACGACAGGACCATACTCCTGCTATGGGAGGCCGACGGTAAGGTTTGATCAACCTTTGATTTTCGGTATTAACATGGTTGTAGGGAAGTGCAACCTTCTCGGGATATCCTACAGTCTTGGAAGTGAAGGCCACATGAAATATCAGCCTCATAGAATTTCTGCAAGTCGCTCTAAAGCAACTGTTTTCAGCAACGAAGAGATAATCGACATGTTTGTGCAAACTGAATTTGCAGTCGATGAGTCATTTGTCCCTGAATTCATGATGATCCGAGAACAAATTGGCTCCAAGAACAACGATGAAAGGAAGAGATTAGTGATTCTGGCCAAAGATAGACTTCGTTACAAGGTTTTCAAATGGACTGGGGCTACTTCTAAGGGAAACATTGATGGGGATGTTCCAATGTCATGAATCTGAGTAAGTAGAGTATCACTACACAGCAACGAAGATTAACAACAGAGAAGTTTTTCCATCGCTTCTGCAAATGCATCGAGTACGCAGAATTCAACAGGGAATCCGATAACACACAAATATTACACGAATTAGAGTCAAGTGACAACACCTAGGTAGCTTGAAGGATTCTGCAAATGATAGATAACGATACCCGGGAAGGAGAGTGGGGGAATAGTAGTAGCGGCGGATAGCATTTGGCGGACGCACTAAAATACGGTTGGCCGCTTCGAAACATATCGATGTGACCACAGTGGTTCAGATTAAAAAAATATTAACAAATCAAGAATAATAAGGATCAAGCCGACTTGCAACCAGTTTATGTCGTATCTTACCCACGCGTCTTTCTCCAAAACCAGAATCTTTAGAAACAACTAACTGACTTACTTTTATACCTCGAGTGAGGTGTTATGACGTCACATAATGAACAGGTGTCTGTAGAACGAAAGAGCATAAATGGCAAAGTACGAGAAGCAGGTCTGGAAGCTGGATTGCCGTCTTCAACTGACGAATATGGAGAAACCCAAAATGATGTCAACGATATGCTTAGATTGGGAAAGAAGCAAGAATTCAAGGTGTGCAAATTATAGTGCAGTTAGCTTCGGCCACGGCAGCAAGTTAACTGAGCTGTAGAGAAACTTTAGTCTCATCTCAACGCTCGGTTTCATATCAATATACATGGCAACATGGGAGTTTGTCCTAGTGTTCGTAATTCACAATTTCCGTGTCGATGAGACAAATTACCTTACAGAACTATAGGTCACTGAGCGTCGGATTGGTCAATGGAGGGTTTGCTGGATTGTTCTGGGTATTCATTGGGACGGTGATATGTTATTCGTCAATCGTGGCGTCGCTTGCAGAAATGGAGTCAATGGCTCCTACGAGTGGTGGTAAGTGCCTCATGAAGTACGTATTGCCTTCAACGGTGGAATTGATAAATTGTAGGTCAATATCACTGGGTTTCCGAGTTTTCTCCCCCCAAATATCAAAAGTTCTTAAGTTATACCGCCGGTGATGACACTCCATACCTATTCTCCTTCTCCTCAACCTTATCTACTTTTGCTAACTAGCCCTGCTAGGCTGGATGTCGAGTCTTGGTTGGATCGCCAGCTTTGCTAGCAGCGTCTTTGTCCTTGCTACTCTCGTTGAAGCGATTATCGATATCCGAAATGCAGATTTTTCATTCTCCTCGTGGCAATATACACTAATCATGATAGCTTATTTGCTCATAACCATAGTCTTTAACACGTGGGGCGCAAGACTCCTGCCTATCATTGAAACCACTTCTTTGTTTGGCCATCTGGCAGGGTTTCTGATAACTATCATACCACTATGGGTTATGGCACCGAAGAACTCGACAAGAAGTGTATTTTTGGATGTGGTTAATAATGGAGGATGGAGTAATACAGGGACGAGTTGTTTGATTGCGCAGGTTAGCGTGCTTTATTGTAATCTTGGTAAGTCATCGAAGAGCTGAATCGGTGACTTGAGTTTGAATTCGGGACTGATGGAATGGGAACATGTAGGATCTGATAGTGCAGTACATATCTGTAAGTACCCTATTTCCTCATATGACATGACCATCCAAATGCTCACATAATACCCAGCCGAAGAAGTAGAAGACGCATCGATCAATGTTCCGCGAGCTATGTGGTGGAGCTATATCCTCAACGTTTTCTTGGGCATCATCACGTTAATAACCATGCTCTTCTGTATCGGTCCCCTCGACGCAGCAATCGAATCTCCAGCTCCCTATCTAAGCCTGTTTTTAAACACAGGATCCAAGGCCGTGGCTACGGCTCTCATGATTATTCTTTGTATGTTCACCAATCTCACACCCCACTTTTATTCTTCATCACATGTAGCACTCTGTTTCCTAATACAGCATTAAAACTTCATT